GATATTTGGCGGAACGCCTGCTCCCACCAAGGTCTACCTGGATCACCCGTGCAAGTCAGGAGGTGAGGCTGAGGAGCCTGATGCCGAGAGAGGCCTGGAAGGAGAAGATACGAAACCGGGCCTTCTCGGCAGTGGCTCCTCGCCTATGGAACAACCTCCCTTCGGAGATTCGCACAGCACCTACACTGGGAATCTTTAAAACCCAGTTAAAAACATGGTTATACATCCAGGCCTTCCCTCCGGTCAATACCTGATTTCTTTGTATTTTCCTTTATTTTTTTCTTCTACTTTATTACAATTGTTATTGAACTACTATGCACATTCTTGAGTTTATTGTTTTATCCTATATTGTAAGCCGCCTAGAGTGGACGAGTAGTCCAGATAGGCAGGGTATAAATCAAATAAATAAATAAATAAATAAAAATTAACCGACTTCAGTCACGAGGCTTAGCTGCCTATAGTCAGGAGACTTAGCTTCCTTCAATCACAAGCCTTATGGAACTGATGTCAGTTGATCCTGAACAAGCCAATTGGAACACACCTCCTTGAAGGTGGAGTCTGTAGGTTCAGATTCAACAGAGCCTCAAAATACCTGATGTTCTGAGCTCAGAGGCTGAATCCGCAAAGCTAAGTTTTCTTAATTTTTGGGTTAGAAAATTAAGTGGGGGCTCTTATAATTGGGGTGCTTTATAAATGGAAAAATACCATATATATGTTAACTGGGTGTAGGACTGGGAACCAAGGTTAGAATACAAATGCCATTTCACTGAATCACAAAGTTACTGAGGTAAATAAACAAGAATTATCTATTCTATGATACAAACTTATTCTGACCAAAGTTCTATTAGTTGTGAACATTAACACAAAAAGTGTAACTTTTGGTGGTGAACTCCTGCAAGTTATGAAGTCAGCACAGATGTTACCTGCAGCATGCTGAGTCACACAACTCAGTGGGCAACTGATAACGTCTACACTGAACTCATAGCTTGCAGCAATTCATTGTCAAATGTTACAGCATTTCCGTTATCCCAGTATAAAATGACAACAGGTTTTTTACCTCTGGATTTCTGGTTTGTATGTTAATTCCTTTGACTGAAAAAAGCAGTTTTCTGGAGGAAAAAAACTAGTCAAACTGTTTAAAGTGATCTAATTTTTCAATCTTATCATTTCCCTTTGTTTGACTCTTTGAAACACTCAGTCATCCTGCGTTCTAAAGCAGGAGAAGTTAGCAATTCAGTTAGAAAACTTGTTCCCATTGGCTTTAAACTCTCTCATCAATACACAACAACATTTGAAACAGCGAACCGAAACAGTTCTTGTAGTGGTAAAAGAATGAGGGAGTGGCAACTATTGACAGATCTATCAGTAAGAAGCTGACAGTCCTGAAGGCCCTATTCAATCTCCTCTTTTCTGCTTCTAGAGCAGTTATCATTATGTGCAGTGATGGATGCCGGTGACGATCAATAAAGCGTCACAGAATATGAAACAAAAAATACTGCAGAAGGTTAGCCCTCTTCAACATGTCAGTCTTCATGAAGATTAAATGTCAGACAACTACCTTTCTTTACACTAGATATACCTATATTTTCCTGTGTCCAGAATTACAAAGGATATGGAAGGCTTTTCCTCTAGCCACCGCTTTTGTAGAAAGACAGATAAAGAATACACAATGATAGATGAAAGGGACTGGATAGATTGCTACCATGATATCTATCTTCATAGCTAGAGTTACACCATGTCTTTATTGGATATGGGTAAGCTGAGAGGGTTTGCGGTTTCATGGACCTCCAGAGTCTGTCAGACTGTGTCAGAAGAATATGAACCTTTCCCGCAGCCACTTAAAACTAGAATATTTAACTTTTTATGCAACCCAAGTCAGCTACTCAAGTGAAAGATGCTGTACAGAAATGCAACGCTGTTGAGGCAACAGCAGCCAACAACTGGAAAAAAAACTGCAATATTGCAAAAATGCTCATGAGAAAATTTGCTAGTCCTCTTTTTGCA